TAAAATAAAATAAAATAAAGTCAAAAAGCAACGGTTGCTGTAGCAACGCAGCCTACACTACCACCAACAGTGTAGGCTGTAGATAGGTTAAATTACTATATTACCCCTATACAACAATTTTGGAAAAAATAAAGTCAGGGGCAAATTTGTCATTTCAATTTAAACATCATTTCAAACACATTTTTCAATACAACAATCAACCCAAAAATTTAACCCAACTTTCCAAACACACAAACTAAAATAGCCTACTAAAATAGCCAAAAAGTCAAAAAGCCTACTAAAATAGCCACTTCCCAAACGAAGCCTATATCTATATTAACATATAAAGTATTTTATTTAGTCTGAGTTATAAAATGTAGCAGCAATGATTCAGAGTACTAATTTTGGTATTGTAATAGAGCACTAATAATATGAAAAGGAAAAAAAAACCAAACAAATTAAGACAAAAATATCACATCACAGTAAATAGGACCCACTTCCAGCTCTAATGGCTGATTTTAGAACTTAAGAATTAAAATTTCAAAGTGTTTTTCAAAATGTAGCACTGTCAAGTTTTTTTTGTTTGTCGATTTCACATTCTCTAACTTTTGAGAAAAAATGACAGCTATTATTTATTTATTTATTTTTTTGCATTAGCTCCACGCCCGAAAGAATTCAAAAATTGATTAAATATTAGGTTTTTTTTTTTTTTTGACATTTTCTAAAAAAGTATTTTATTTAGTTTTTTAAACCAAATACGTTAAAAGGATATTTTGTCAATTGTCTCTTATTAAAAGTCAAAGAAAATGATTTTTTTTCATAAAATAATTAAAAGTCAAAAAATTAACTTATTACCAAATAATAATAATATTTACCAAAACGGGCAAAAGAGTAAGGAAGTTACCAAATAACACAGCTTGTTTGATTATCACATAAGTTAAAAAGTTATAAACATGTTAAATAATATGATTTATTTTATTTTAATTTTCAATCATTTGTCTGTTCTCCACAATCATATCTACACTCTGCATAAAACGTTCTTCTCAATGATGCACACACTATAATTATAGATTCTATCGAGCATTGATTTTTAAATGCAATATGTGTTTGAATTTTGATTTTGTAAAATAAATAAATAAATGAAAAGAAAAGGTTGAAAATAAAGTAAAAGTTAGCATTTTATTTTATTTTATTTTATTTTTTTACAAATCTAAAATTCAAATAGAGTCTTAAACAACAATCTCTTCCTTCTGTTACTTATTCAGGGTGGATGATTAATCCAATCACAACATATTTATATTTAATCTTTTAAATGAATTTTGTGTAGTTCTGTTTATACATGTTTTTATTTTCCAAATAAATATAAAAATAAAATTTAAATCAAATAGTTAGAATCGCTTCTAATTTTATATTACTAATTCTCTTTCTAATTTAACTATTATTTTTAATATCAAAATGATTATTTATTTTACTATCTTATAATTTAATATATATCATATAAAATTATTATATAATAATTACATTTTTATAGAACAATAAAACTAAAATTATCAAAATAAACAAATAGTTTAACTAAATTTATTATATATAAGTATTTAAGTAATACTTTTATAGAACGATAATGCTAAGATTTTTAAAATAAATTTTATTTTCAATTAAAATTAAAATTATTCTTTTGTAACACATATCATAATATAAAATGTCACTACATTAATTAAAATTAACTCCATTGTGATATTTTTTGAAAATGATTTACATACACGTGTAGCGTCTAATTTGATATTGATTAAAATAATGGAACTCAATATTTTTTGTTAAATTTTTAGAAGATAAATTGAGAAATATCAAATGATAAATAATGTGGAGTATTATTAAAAAATAATGATTCATTGAAAATGATTGTGTATATCTAAAGCACCTATTGATATTTCTTCAATAATTTTTAAATTAAAATTTTAAATTTATAGTATTATTGATAATATACATTCATGAACTCAGCTCGAAAAGATATGCAAAATTAATTTGGCAGGAATAAAAATTTTGCAGTTATTATGGTGTCACATAATTAATCAGAATCCCTTTAACGTTTGAAATTATTAAGGTTATAGAGATTTTGTACCTGATTCCCTTTGAGGATACTATTTATGATTTGAATTTATAATTTTTTATACATCAATGTGAATAACTGTTACGATTTTACTGATATAAGCGTGTCAGTCATCATATTTCTAGAAGTGATTTACATATGTGTATAAGTCCAATTTGATATTGATTGATTAAAATAATGAAACTCTCAGCTTGCTTGGTTCTATTTTTCCAAAAACACTTTTCAGAAAATTATACTTTCTTATTTTTCGTGTTTTTTTTTTTTGTTTTTACTGAATTTTTTAAATATTTTAAACAATTTTTTTACTTTTTAGACACACCTAACATAAATATACCTAAAAGGTAAAAAAATCTTTAAAAAATTCACTAAATACCAAAAATACAAAAAAAAAAATACAAGAATTCAGTATATTTTTTTGTATTTCTATGTATTTATTAATTTTTTTTAAATATTTTTTCACAAAATTTTTACTTTTTAGATAAATCTAAGTAATGTGCATAAAAAAGTAAAAAAAAAAATGTTTAAAATCTTAAAAATATTCACTAAAAACAAAAAAACACGAAAATAAAAAAACTCAATTTTCAAAAAACTTAATTTAGAAAACTCAAACCAAACACACTGAATATTTTTTTTCGTTAAGTTTTCAGAAGATAAATTGAAAAAAGTCAAATGATAAATAGTGTGAAATATTATTAAAGAATAATGATTCAATGATTCATCGAAAATAATTTTTTTTTATATTTAAGGCACCTATGGATGTTTCTTAAATAATTTTTAAATAAAAATTTTATATTTCTAATATTACTGAAAATGCACTTTCATGAACTTTGCCAAAAAAGATATGCAAAAATAATTTGTCTAGAATAAAATTTGTGCATTTGTTATGATGTGTCATATAATTAATGAGAACATTTTTGAGAACTGAAATTAGATTTTGCGCTGGATTCTCTTCTAGGACACTTTTTATGATTTGAATTTATAATTGTTTATGTATCAATGTGACTCTTACGGCCTTACTGATATAAATATAATTCCTACATTTGAGTCAACTTACCTTAAGCACTTTGTCATGTAAAAATATTGTAATAGATCATAATCAAACACTACATGAAGTATAATTAAATACTCGATACACCACTTTAGACATAACCAAAGACATAAGAAATTAGAAAAGACATTTTCAATTAATAACCAAAATAATACACCATGAGTTATAACCAAACCATAATTTGTATGTTATTGAATTTTCCGTTGTTTTTATTTTTATTTTCAGCAAAAATATTTTGATACAAGTGAAATTTGTGATTTTTAGTTAATTTGATTAACATAAATAATGATTTGATTTTAGATTAAGAATACACCTTTTTAAAAAAAAAAAAAATTGAAAATATTATTTTTATGAGCCTGTTTTATATAGAATCACACATAGTGATAATAAGTTTCATTGGCCATGAGTAAATCTTTGTATTTGACTTTCAGTTATTAAAATTTTTTACACATAAAATATTAAGATTTAAAATTAATTTTTCATTTTAAAATTCTCGTACATGAATCTCCTGCTATTTTATTTATATATTATATTATATGATTTTAGTAATTATATATGCGACTGTGTCACTAGTAAATAAAACAAACAATTATGAATAAACATCATTTACCCACAATTACTTTAGTGATTATGCAGAAAATATCTCATTTTAAAAGTCTGCTTAAAGCGTCATCTCACGCCGGCCCTGTCTTTGTGACAACCGAAGGTTAGGCTGTGAGATCCCAATCCATGTTCACTGGGCAAACATTTTAGGCCTTGACCAACCCAAATCGTATAGGCTTGGCCCAAACCAGCCCAGCCTAGCCCAATAGAAGTTCAACTAAAATAACCCAACAACAAGTGGCAAGAAGACCGAACGATGTCGAGCAGGCTTTGGATGATAGAGACCTCTTTTTTTAGAAGTTTCATAATTTTTAAAGTGATTCACATCGCTCATAATGTAGGCTCCATATATATATCTCCACATATCATAAGTGGTGTGGATTACATTGGGAGTTGTGAAATTCTCAAAAAATGAGATCTCACTCATTTTCTCAGTGCAAACCCATCCTTAGTAAACTTTATTTTTTTTTTAATTTTTTAATTTTTAAATAGGATCACCAATAAAGAGTGGTGTTACATCTTTTAATACATTATCTTCATTTTGATCTCTAATAATGAGATAGAAGAGAGAAAGAGAATAGAGAGAGATAAAGAGAGAAGGGATGAGAAATAAGGAGTGTGGGTCCATTCCACATCATTAGGTGTGTGGATTAAGAGTGTTCAATTAGAACTCTCAAGCATTTTTCAACCTTGAAAAGCGGCATTGAATTCATCATCTCATTTCACCCCGAACAAAGTCCTATCGTTCAAGTTTAGTTGATATTCTTCTCTCCTGCTGACTGACTCTAGTCTAATATCACTCTCAATATAATTTATATTATGATAATTTTTATAAAATTTAAATATGATCATTAAAAAAAAAAAAAAAAAAAAAAAAAAAAAAAAAAACAGACACACACACACACAATTTTATATTGTGATTTTGTCCTTATTAACTCTATAGTCATGGGCAAAAAAGCATATGGTCTTGTGGCCTAATGGCATGGAGGCATTACTTAAGTATTTGCAAGGGAGTGATTGGGGTTTTTAACTCCCACAAGAGTTAAATCTAACAATTAACAATTTATTTTGAATCATAAAAGAAATTAGGAAAAAAAAAAAAAGAGACGACCACAACAACAAGAATAACATTTCAGCTACGACTTAGAATTTTGTTGAGAATGATAAAAGGGGTGGCAAAACTTTTATCCATGTATCCAATAATCAAATATAATGCATAGTAAAAGTAACACAAAATTGAATAAAAAAAACACGAGTTAATACCTTTGTTGCAGGAAAGAAATTTCTTCATTCTTATCTTCATTTTGTAGTTTCCAAATGCAACTTTTGACACTGCGAAGAAGAAATGAAGTTTCCAAATGCAACTTTTGACACTGCGAAGCAGAAGAAGAAGAAGAAGAAGAAGAAGAAGAAGAAGAAGAAGAAGAAGAAGAAGGAGAAGAAGGAGGAGAAGGAGGAGAAGGAGAAGAAGGAGGAGAAGAAGAAGAAGAAGAAGAAGGAGAAGAAGAAGTAGAAGGAGGAGAAGCAGTAGAAGGAGGAGAAGGAGAAGAAGAAGAAGGAGGAGGAGGAGGAGAAGAAGAAGAAGAAGAAGAAGAAGAAGAAGAAGAAGAAGGAAAAGAAGAAGAAGAAGAAGAAGCAGAAGAAGAAGGAGAAGGAGAAGGAGAAGGAGAAGGAGAAGGAGAAGGAGAAGAGGAGAAGAAAGAGGAGAAGAAGAAGGAGAAGAAGAAGAGGAGAAGGAGAAGAAGAAGAAGAAGAAGAAGAAGAAGAAGAAGAAGAAGAAGAAGAAAATCTGTAAACAGAGAGACAGAAAGTTGTAGCCAGGATTCGTAAGCTTAATTGGACATTGATTGTACATACCTTTCTGAGAGTTTCCAGACAAATTAAGATTTTAGCTTCAAAGGACCCAAGTCTTATAAATAATGGGGTAGGGAAGGAACAAGAGGAAGAGTTATATCATGTATAAAGACCCTTTTAATACCTGAGATGATGTTATTGCTTTTGCTTTTGATTTTGCTTGCAAGAACAAGAAGATGCTTTGTGTGGTGGCCTTGTAGTGCAAGTGAATTTAAGGACTCCAAATTTTTTATGATATACTTAGATTAGAAGGGACATAATAATAAAAGAAGGTTTTAAAAATAATTACAGAATTGTAAAAATAAAAAAAAATTATAATTATAATTATTAATGTTTATTAAATTTATCATTTATTTGTAATTACTTTTTTAAAAAATCATATATTTGATATTTCTCAATAAAAGAACTGTCACAGAAAAGAGGTTCAATGTCAAGTTGTGGCTACTTGTAACTTCAACGGCAAGTGATGGGGTGATTGGATTGGAAGGAAGATGACGTGGTGATGAGGACTCACCTTTTTGTCTGTAACTATAAATGAATTACAACATAGGCAAGGGTCAGGGCCGGCTTAAGCCAAGGGCTTCGGAGATTGATTGGCACAGAGAAATATTTTTTATCTACACAATTTCTTTCTTTACAATTCTTGCAAATGATCATAATTCTCACAAATAAGGTGACAAAGAAATGATGCAAGTTTTATACCAATTAAATTATGGATCAATTTTTAAAATTTTACTTATCACCTCTTTTGTGGGGATTGTGAGGAAGTAAATTGTGTGAATATAGCACTGTTGTTGAAAAAAAGGGTTCAAAAATAGTTTTAGCTATTATTCTAATCTATAAAAAAAAAAAAAAATCACCTAAGGGGGTAATTTTGAATGATCTAAATAAGTATACATATTGACTTTTTACAAAAAGATGTGCAGAAAAATAAAAATGTGATATGACCCAAATAAGTACAATCCTCTAAATAAGTGTACTTATTTATTTATACCAAATAGTGCCTAAATTTCAACACCCTGACAAAATTTGATAGAGATTCAAAACTCATGTAATGAATTATTTAAAACTCATAGATAATTGTTTTTACTTGAAAAAAATAAAATAAAAAAGCCTATTGATATGATGGGTTATTTGAAATTAATGAATAGATGGATGTTTCCTAAATTTATAAATTGTGTATAGAATATGATTAATTATATCAGTTATAATTGTTTCTGGAAAAAAAAAATTCAAATTTTAAATTGATTCTTACTTTCAGTCAACTATGTCACAACAAAGATTAAATGAATTAACAATTTTGTCCATTTAAAAATATTTAGTTGATAACTTGGATTATGCATGTTTGATTAGTAATTTTACAGTTAAAAATGTGAGAAGTGTGATGTTTTAGTGATATTTTATTATAATTTATTTACTTTTTATTTGGTATTTGAGTGTAGATTATTTTAATCATTTTTTTTATTGTAAATTTTGTTATATAGTTAAGTAAATTTTATGTCAAGAATAAATAAAAAATAGAAAATTGGTGGATAATTTTTTGATTACAAATGTTTCCCCTTTATCGAATGCTTGCTTTGGACTTAAAAAATGTTAGAGCCGGCCCTGGCAAGTATGAGGCCCAATATGTGCAACTCATCTCTTGTTTGTATCATGTGATTAATTATGTGTTTTGATTTTGTACATGTAAGATAACTTTTTGGTAATGAGGGATTTGGTGATAGCCCCTTTACTATCTAATTTGTCTTTCAAAAGGATAAAAATTATATAAGTACTTTCAAAACTCCCTAATATTTTAAAACTTATTTCTTTTACCATATTACCCTCATAAAATTTTACTTTGTATGAAAGTAAAATTTTACTCTGTATAAAAGTAAAATTTTACACTCTGAAACAAAGTAAAATTTTACTCTGTACAAAAGTAAAATTTTACTCTGAAAAAGGAGTAAACTGTGAGACTTTGAAGCTAAAAGTAAAATTTTACTCTGTATGAAAGTAAAATTTTACTCTGTATAAAAGTAAAATTTTACTCTGGTTCTGTCAAATGAAAAAACAGAACAATAGAACCAGAGTAAAATTTTACTCTGGTTCTATCAAATGAAATTTGATAAAAAAAACAACAAAAATAAATCAAAAACAAAACAAACAAAAACAAAACAAATTAATCAACAAATCAACATATCTAATTGAGAAGAAAAACTTCTAAAACTCGATCAACAATCACAAATCTCAATAAAAAGAATACATATGTTCAACAACACTCATATACACAAATATATATATATATATATATATTCTCAAAATCTTGAATGAGGAATGTAACGGCTGCGAGATCTTTAGATTTGGAGATCGTCTTCATCGATTTTGTGAAGTATGATCGATTTGGAGATCGTCTTCATCGGCTACGACCTCAGATTTCCAATTTTTCATACGTGTGATACTATATATATAAGGGCAATATTGTGATAAAAAAAATAGAAATTATAAAATGTCCTTATTAGGTAAGCATTTCTTACTCAGAGATTTTTTGAAAGAAAATTAATTGGGTTATCCTTTACCCTAATAAAAAGGCCCAAAAGGGGGGTTCCACCAAAAATCTCTTGGTGACAAGATGTGAAAAATAAGCATATTTGGCATAACTTATTGTAAGTTAAAATTTAATAACTATGAAGCAGAAGTCAACATCCGTTTCTTGCCTTCTAAAAAATCAACTTTTTAAAACTTATTTAAAATATTTATGTCTAACAAGTTGTAAACAGAGATAACACTAAACAGTGTAACACAAATTTTTAAATTAAAATAAATTATAATCAGCTCATTTAAAGTGCAAGAAACAGCACCATCATCAACTATACTTTGCAACGAAAACACATAATAATAAAAAAAAAAAATTAGAAAATACAAAAGAGTAATTCGAAACGGATCCAACTTCTCTCTAATTGGGAGAGAAAATTAAACCATGTTGTTGGGTCTACCACAAGGCCTACTTTGATGATCTATTTTGTTTAGTTTTTATATATGTATGTATAGATTATTAATTAATTAATTAACTAACTCGACAAATGTAGACATGCAATTTCATCACATTTCTCATAAAACAAAATTTAAGGGTCTATTTTAATAAGGCCAAATTACATCAATAGTCCTTATATTTTGCTCATTTTATCATTTTAGTCCTTGTAATTTTTATCAACTCGATTTTGACCCTAAATTTATGACATTGTATTAATTTGGTCCAATTTATTATAAATGCTAACATTTTGTTATAAAAAATATGCACATAAAATGGCATGAGTCATACTTATAGGAGTAAGATTATAAACATCCTTAACTCAGCAAGGTAATCTCAATCAACTTAGTGATCATTTTTCGTCAAAAAATCCTAACAACATTATCATTGGACTAAACTGAAATAAAATCTAAATTAAATATCAAAATTGAGTTAATTGAAAATGTAGGAACCGAAATGACACAAGAAACTAAAATGTAGGGACTACTAGTATAATTGTCCCTTTAATAACATACTTGTGATCCATGTTTTTCATTACAAATGTAATTGTATGATTATGATTTTCAGGTCACTTTTTTCTTCTTTTTTTTTCCATAAATGATCTACACATAGAGATCTAAAAAATAAATGGGACACTTATAGGTCAGTCCCATTGACTAGACTTATTTACATATAAGTCCTACTCATTTTTTTATCTATCAATATTTCCAAAATGAACTCCCCACCATAAGACCACGGCCATGACACTGACAACTACCAGTAACCACTTTCGACCATCAATGGCCAACTCCAACCACCTCTGACCACTGTCTTTGACTACCAACAACCACCTCTAATAATAGGTTTTTACTTCATTTCTCCAACTATTTTCCAATAAAAAATAATGTCCACCTCCTTAGATCTAGTGGCGATAAATAAAAGAAAGGGCGGATAGAGAGGAGGAAAAGAAAAAAAAATAAAGGACTTACCAAAAAATAGTTATCATCAATCTTCATGGTCACAGATCAACACAAGAATCATAGTGCTTCCATTTGTTGATAAATCTATCAGTCGGATTTGTAAAAATATTTACAAACAAAAGATATAGTTTGAGAGAAATAGAGAAACACCACTTAGTCACTCATTCTCACTTACTCAGATTTACACACGCAACTATTCACTTATTTACTTATTCACTCACAGGCACACAATCTCTCTCTCACACACACAAAGGAAGCATCAAAGTCTAGTTCGATCAATTTTTTGTGTGAAATTGATGAAAAAACACACATAGTGATAACTTTATCAGTTTGATTTGTAAAAAAATTATACACAGCAAATCTTGTTCACTCACTTACTCACAAGACACCCTCCACACACAAAGAACAAGAAACACTGATAAATTTCTCAGGGATTTGTAGCAGATTTGGATTGAGAAATAGAGAGACAAAACACAGACATGGGAAAGGAAGAGCAAGATTTGGAAAACATTATTGCTTGGAGTCGTTTGGAGTTAATTTTGCCATTGGAAAAATTAGATTTGTGTAGATCTAGAACTAAATTAGTGGATCAACAGTAGTGGATGTAACAACCTGAAAATTAAGTTATCATTTAATTTCGCATTAGTCTTATTTACAAATAGAAAAAAAAAATAATTTTATATACGATTAATATAACTTTTAATGTCAAAAATATAATTATTATAAAGTTTAGTGGTCAAAGTCTAATTATCAAAAATGAAATTTGCCACTCTTTTGCACTAGAGACATATGGTCGTGATACGTGTCTATTTGCATGTAGTGACTGTTGTTTGACTTGGTGAAAATTAGCATATATAAGAAACAGTGATACTAGAGACTTCTAATTTAGAGGCTTTGAATACATTTTTAATGAGGTGGAAAAGGAAAAAAAAAACAAAAAAATAGACACATCACTGACAGTGGCAGTGGATGAGACTTACTGTCGCATCACTAATGGCACCTCTAATTAGAAGTCCAAAGTATTTTTCTATAAGAAAAGATTTCATAATCGTGGAAAAGAAAGAAAGAAAACGGAAAAGAGTGAGACAGTGATAGTTGAGTGGATGATTGATTAGAAGCCCGAGGAGATGATTAGACAATCAATTGATTTTTATAATTTGATATGTAATTGAACTGTATCTTGAGTTATCATAAATTATTTATATTAA